AAAAAAATTCCAATCATAAGTCGTCATGAATCTATAGTAAGCCGCACGCACTTTACGGGTTACGAGGTGGACATGTAAAAGATATGGTATGTATGTAATGTCTGTAACCAGAGGCGTACATAGAATTGTAAGATTACAGTGTCTATAAGAATGATGTAGAAGGAAACGTTAAATTAGCTACTGTGACGTCAGCAAACCAGCTGTTTTTGACATCTGCACTAAAAAACTGTTAGCGTTGTTCTTATCGCCGCTAAACATCTTCGATTCAATATTGCAATTAAATTTCGCCAACTTTTAGGGTTTTTTCTTCTGCAACAAATCATGATTTACATATTTGTTAAATCCAGAGGCTATAAATAATAGTTAATATAAATAATAATATTGACAAACTGTTAATAAATGTAGATAAGATATTCAGCTAATAAACGATAATCTAAGTATTTGCTAACTAACACTGAGAATGCATTAAATATCAAAATATAAATTACTTTATTTGAAAACAAAAAAAGAATTCAAAGACAAAAAATATATTATTATTTGCAAAAAAGTTCTAAATCGTTAGTTTCATTTTTTTTTTTTTTTTTGTAAAACATAATTTTTTTTAAATATTATAATTTTTCTTAATTTTGATTCTATTGTTTTTAATAATAACAAATTTTATTTTTTGAAAAATTCTAGTCCTTGTTTTTAATTCCAACTCTTTTTTTAATTCTAATTGTTTTTTTTAATCTTATTCCTTTTTATGAAAAATACTAATACTTTTTTTAATTCTCATTCATTTTTTCCCTTTTTTTTTGGAAATAATAGTTCCCTTTTTTTAAATACTAAGTCGTTGTTTTTTTTTTTTGTTATATTCTAATACTTTTTTTTTTAATTCAATTTTTTTTGTAAACCCAACTCGTTTTTATTTCTTATTTTATTATTATTATTTTTTAATTCTATTCGGTTTTAAAAATTCTTTTATTTTTTTTATTCTTTTGAAAAATCTAACTTTTATTAATATTTTTTGATAAATTCTAGTTTATTTAATTTTTTGAAAAATTTCAATTCTTTTTTTAGTTTTAATTGTTTATTTAATTCTTATTCCTTAAATACTAATTTTTTTTTTTTAAAATTCAAGTTATTTTTAATCCTAAGTTCTTTATGTTTTTTACAGTGCTGTTAAATTTATTTTATTTTTTTGTAAAAAATGTTTTTTTCTTATTTTGAAATTTCTAGCTTTTTTTTGATATTTATAATTAGACTTTTTTAATTTGAATTCCGTTTTTAATTGCAATTTTTTGTTTTTTTTTTTTAATTTTAGCTCGTTTTTTAAGTTCTAAACTTGTTTTTTTTTTTAAATTCCATTTTATTTTAATTCAATTTCGTTTTTTTTTCTTTGAAGCTCTATTTCGTATTTTTATGTATTTTAATTTTTTTTTTTAAATATCCACAAAATTACTTTAATTTGTTTTTAAATCCTAGTTGGTTTTTTTTTTAAATATTGATTCCTTTTTTAGAAAATTGTAATTGCTTTTATTTAATATTTTTTTAAGAAAATTCTATTTTGCTATTTTGAAAAATACCAATTTTTTTGAGTGAAATTCGATTTGGATTTTTATTATGAAAAGTCCAATTCCTTTCTTCTTTTGGAAAAACATCTGTTTTTATTATTCACTTGAATGAAAAATAATTATGAATAATTTCATAACATTATTCTTGTTCCTTTTTAGTTTGAAAAAATACGTTTTTTTTTTAAATATCTTTTGTCTTTTTAAATTCTTTCGTTTGTTGGACAATAAAAACTAATTTTTATATTTTCAGATACTTTTTTTTTGAAAAATTAAATTTTTTTTGAAAAGTTGTTTGTTTGAAGTTTTTTTTTGTTTGAAAAGTTGTTTTTTTTTTTTTGTTTTTTTTTTAAAAGTTATTTTTTTTGTTTGAAAAGTTGTTTTTTTTTTATTTTTTGTTTGAAAGTGTTTTTGTTTTTTGGTTTGAAAAGTTGCTTTTTATATTTTTTTTTGTTTGAGAAGTTGTTTTTTGTTTTTGTTTGAAAAGTTGCTTTTTTATTTTTTTGTTATTTTTATTTTTTTAAAAGTTTTTTTTTTATTGTTTGAAGAGTTTTTTTTGTTTGANAATTTTTTTTTTTTTTTTTTTTTTTTTTTTGAAAATTTTTTTTTTGTATTGTTTTTTGAAAAGTTGTTGTTTTTTGAATTCGTGTTATATTTTGAATTTTTTTTTAAATATTATATTAGACAATTCCGGCATGTACTCGATGACATTTTCATAGAAAACTTTCCACACAATCACTCACCCCTAACTGCACGTCTGTTCGCTGTGGCGACGCGCTATGCTAGTAATCAGTTTTTCGAATTTTTCTTCGAAACTCGGATTCTTATCAAATAAACACCAACTGAGCATAGATAATTCCGACACGTCTCCAAGGCAGCTACACATTTTTGGCATTCTATTCAAATTTATGTGTTTTGATTTTTTTTTTTTGCTTTTGTCTTTATTTGGTGGCCTTGCAGTGAAGTTCAAACACATTGATGATTGAAAATAATCTAAATTGATAATAAATTTATTAAAGTACGTATTTGCAAAAGATGAAAAAATATTATTTACATACAAATTAATAATCATAACGCTGTGATTAAGTATATATATGTATGTATGCCTATAAATTATATATTTGCATAAATGGATACATATGTATGTATATATGTATTCATTCTAGATGCGCTATAAATAAGTGCAATATTGAATTATGCTTGGCTACGCGTTGTCATTTTTAGAAAAGTTGCGACAATTTTTGATTTTTTTTTTACTTGTTTCTTTTTTTTTTCTTACTTTTGCTTTTACCCCCACAAAGAGATGTGTGATAAAGTGAGATTTTGGCTTTTAAATAAATACAATATATTTTAAAAAACTACTTTCACCACATTCTGGAGCATTTATTTAAATACAAATATACTCTTATATAAACAAATATTTAAATAATTATTTCATAAAAATATTAAAAAATTTTAATAGGAGAGATTTCAAATTTCATCCAATTAGAACAGTTTGTATGGATTATTGTTGTAATTGTGTGTAATTACTAATATTAGTAGGAAATCAAGTGCTATATAATTTTATTAATTTCAAAGCTGGTTCCAACTTGTCTGCTGGCAATGTTGTTGAACTACTTACTGCCCTGCCCGTTCAAAGGTATTATATGTGCATACACATATGTTTATATCAATTTATTGTACTTTCAACCTGCAATTCTTTTATATATCTGCGTGTGTATATATATTATTTTTATATGCATACGTGTATACATAATACTGTTTTTAATTATTTTACTTAAAAAATTGTAATAAAAAAATTTAACCTCAAAATTTTCCAAATTAAATATTAAATATTTTTCTTCAGTGAAATGTTAAAATGCCAAATAAAACAAAATTTCATAAAAAAATATTTAACACACTTTTTGTTCACAATAAAATGAACAAGAGTCCTTAAGAATCCCTTTCTTCTACTCCATTGGTGTACTCACCGCTTATGCGTTTATAGCCGAGTCAACAAAAGCTATCTGATCTTTTCAGCACTCCACCTCGTTTCCTTCTTCCTCCGCTTTCACCAGCGGGTACTAAATAAAATACTTTAGGAGCAGAAGTGTTTTCGTCCTACAGAACTTCTTAATTCGCAGAATTTGTTGACGTATATTTCATAATCAAACGACAATCTCTTGAGCAGACACACATATATGATTAGAACTTTAGACTAAAGACTAGCAAGGAGATATTTCGTCTTGACGTGGAGGAGAACTACCAGACCCATTCACTTCACTTCATTGTTCAATCTAGAGAAAGCATTAATGTCGCCACGTTTAATAAGGCTACTGTTATCAATATCATCGGCATACTTCAGCCATTGTACACTCTTTTTGGAAGATTGCATAAAAAGTCACCTCTTCAGATATCGTTGAGCATGGGCACCGCTCGACGAGATCTTTCCCAAATTATACTGCGCTTCTGGTATTGTCCAGTATCAATTTTCAAAGCTCTATTCATTTTGCGGAGATACCAAATTCAGACATCGTCTATGTGCTGGTGGAGTGGATCTACCAGATTTGAAGCCGTACCGTGGTTTCAATCGATGGGTATACAAATATCTGCCTCCACATTGAGGTGCTCGAGTACCAAAACTATTATATTATAACAAACTAATCCTCTCTGCCACGTTCAATCCATCTCTTGGCTGTCTTGACGAGTATATACTCGTATGAGATCATCAATAAGTTAGCCTGCCTTATCGAGAAAACCTGGGCTTTACCTTTCAGCATAAAGGGATACAGAACGTGGGATCGCCAAAGGAATCACAGAATAGAATAGAAATAAATCGGGCCAACTCCAGTGCATAGAATTGGCTCTCCATCGTACCATATCTGCAGGTAGCTGAAGAAGAGGTGTCCAACTGAAGCATCAGAAGATATGAATTTGACTAAACGGAATGATTTAAACATTACTCAAAACGTGACAAGCTAATGACAGCCCTTAAATGTCATTAACATGGAGGCTTAAATGCAACACGGCCCTGAACTGGGTGCCCGGACAACCGAGACAACCCAGGCAATAGGACGGCAGAAGAACTTGCGAGTTAATGAAGCCTTCTAACTACAATAAACCAGGTACATGATGCAGATGTACCTCTGCCCAAAATATGTGCTAAAACTGCAAGGTGACCAACCAGCAATGGCTAAAATTAGAGATCAAGGCATGCTATCAAGGTTTCTATGACCTCTCAGCGGTATCACATCACGCGTTGGTCACTAACCAGCAACCACAACTGAAACTCATATTTTTCTGACTCTCAAGCTCCATAAACCCAAACTTTTTGCCCAAGCAAATCATTTAAGTTGAGCTTCTGAGACGTGGCTCGTCTTCTCTTTTATAAGATTGAAATATTATCCTTTATGTACTCATGCTACATTCAATATTATTTTGAATTTTATATCTTTTTTTCTCTCCACACAGTTACCCGCTCATCAATGTGCCGCTGCCCGGTACAATACCCACAAAAATAATGCTACCCTTCGACGGCCGTTACTCACTCTTCACAGAGCAACCACAACAAAACGTCTCATTGGTGCGGAATTTCTTTAGTCCACCGATTAGTAATAATTTCAGTTATGATCCACCATTTCCATGGGCGAAAAGCACGCCCATATTCTATGTGCAGCAGATTATGTTGCGCACTAGTGTGCTACCCTGGACCGAGGAATTGCAATTAATGGACGCATATCGTGCGCCGCTCTACGAAGTCTTTAAATTGTTGGAAATTATACGAAATCACGAAAGCGCCGAGAAGTGAGTAACTAAAAATAATTCTTTATTATATTTGCATGTAGACGCGTTTATGTATTGAGCATATACATATGTATGTATATAGTATTTTTGTTAACCACTTAAATATTGTTTTGCATGTGTAGTTTACATTGATGATAAGTTAATTTTATTTAAATTAATCACATTGCTGTTTTTGTTGTTTTCTTTACATTTTAGTAAACGCACATTGGATCAATCTTGTTGGCATGTGGACAATGTTAAGCGTAAGCGCGCTGAGAAAGTCTTATTTCCCGAATATAATTGTTTGGTATTATCGCCGGCGAATTTTTGGTCGCAAGATATACAAAATTTCACCAAAGACTCGAATTTATTAAATACCATCTTTCAGTATCATGTAAGTAAATATATCTATTTGTATTTTTTTTTTGGTTTAGGACTCCATTTGCCTACAAAATTACTTATATGATTGTTATTTATTAACAAATTCGGTAGTTCGGAAGTGGAATATTATATTAGTGGCACCAATAATTATATGCTCGGCTATTATATTAAGTCCACAGTTCGCTTAAAAATATTAGGTCAGCGATTTTTTTTGAGAGCGAATTTAGTTCCCGTTAAAAGAAGCAAGCCTTCCAAATTTGGTTGATTTCTGTTGGTTAATGCTTTAAATATTCGATACTGAGGTAAGTGGGAATGGAAAGTAAAAAGCCCGTTATATGGGACGAAATCGTGCCAGGTAGCATTTTTATATTCGCCGAATAAGAGGGTTGTAGGAGGTGGTTGGGCTCAATCAAATGATTGTAACATGTTCTGTGACTTATAATTACGAGGTATAATTATTATTCGACAATTCGACTGTGAGCTATCGTCAGCCAAGGAAAAAGATCGGTAGGGAAAAGTGAAATATGAAAAAATTGAGATATCGTATAGTTATGAAGTTCCTTATCAAGTAAGGAAAATCATTTGCGTTCGAAATGAATGTGATGCCATTGATCTACAAGTGGCGCAGAAGCATCGGGATGACCACGCAAGAACTTATCCAAAAAGTTGAAAAAATTTTTCTGCACGATGCTCTACTAAAAGATAATAGCTCGCAAAAATAGTATAGTAAAAATAGTCGCATACAAGGACTCTAAAAATCCTGCACGATTACCTTGGTATGCCTCCACAAAAACAATCGTCCACAAGAGCCGCGTTGCGATGGCTTCGCTGCATAAGGTGGACACCTTACCAATGATAATGTCAAGGAGATAGTTTCGGCGTATTTAGACGATAAAGAGAAAACATTTTTGTATGACGGTATAACTAAATTAATTGAAAGATCTGAAAAATGGCTCCGAATCATAAACGACGTCGGTCCTTTCGTTAAGAATTGTGCGAAATGTTTAATTCCTGTAAGCAGTATCGAGCCTTGAAGCTACATCAGTAATATTTTGCTGCGAGCGCACTGAATGAGCTTGATTTGACAAACTACCTGAAAATCAACTTATTTCTAATGACGAAATAATAATAAAATGTGGCTAAAAGTTCGAAAGAAAATTGTATAAATTCCAATTATTTCAAATTTCCATAGTTGTTGTCTTGCCTTGCGGCTGCTTTAGACCCTGTATTATAAATTAAAAGAAATGTAAAACTATTACAATGAAACATTTTGAGTCAAGTCCGAGGTACATGTATACAGCTGAAAGTCGAATCGTGTCATTGTGCTCATGAGAACTAAATTACAAAACATCATATTGATACTCCATACACGAGCGCAAATTTTTGCCCTACGTACATTTGCTTTTCTCATATTAATTGTTTGTAGGGCTCTTGATATGTGTCTGTTTCAATATACTCGAAATACAAAATTTACATTGTATAGAGAAGACATCAAATAGTACATTACGGAAGCAATTCTAGTCACAATCGTTGAGGAGACTCTAAAAATGTTAAATTAAACAGAATTATTAGTTCTCTGTAAAGGAACAGCGTGTACGATACAGTTTGTAGACAGGTACAATGGTTATGAACAGAATGATTTTAGCATTCAGCTGTTGAGAGACCCGAACACATTAACTAAGCATAGGTTATCTTAAGGTAGACGTTAAGAGTGACCAGCATACAAATATGCAGGCGATCCAGTGTATATTATTTATATACTGTTTCATCAGTCATTTGTCAGACAACTTTTGCTATGCGGACTGCAATTATCTTTCAAAGATCCTAATATCTCGCTCTTTTTCCGACGAACAGGATCAGCTTTTTAGCGGAATATGCAGTGGTTTGGAAATACCTACCTAGCAATGTTAACTCTAAAATCCGCAAGTAATAAGTTCGCTGGTAAAACAACTCTAAATCTCATGTAGTTGACTTATATCGGCCTTAGAGACATGAAATAGCTGACAAGTTCGACAAATCAAGAGTATTTCTTCACGTATTCGACGCTGAGTTAAACCAATGGCCTGTTAAGTGCTGTTGGTTGTGTACTCCCCTTGGATTTTCAATGAATAACTCAGTACACTTGCTAAGCTACACTCAACGAAAAAGGTTTGCCATGGGTAAGAGCAATATAATTTTTAAATAATTTCTCTCTCTCTCAGAACTGAAAAACTTTTGTTTTGATGTCCACCAGAAGGATTTCGGTTATATGTAAATAGTATAAAGGAAAAAACTAAATGGTTTGAACGCTACAATGAATCGTAATAGCAAAAATATTGGCCCACTTTTCCTCCTACCTACCTTTCGCTTACCGTTTTTGACCTCGAGCTTCGACTAGATTTGTTCTGGCCTATGAGTAATTTTCTCTTCATTAAAAAAAATATATTTCATATTTTCTCACTAAAGGTCCGAGTGGTTCTTTCTCCACGAGAGGACTGGGGATTTCAGTTTTCCATACACCATTGTAGAAATGGTTGAAAGATAAGTTTTATATTTAGAACTATAAATTCCGTCTAAGCACTTGATTTGGATTTTTTCCGAGCTGGCGCTAGATTGCTCCTACTGCATCATAATTCCGTCACGAAAGTACTGGATAGGAGGACAGAACCAATAAGGGAAAGTAGCAGTACTACTAGCGTAAATATCGGCAAAGAGTGTGTTGCGAACTACTTTGGAATATTGTTTCTGTGGAGGCACTCATAGTGGTAAAATACTTTACTGCTAATCATCACTTTTCATGGCGTTAAACATCTAGTTTGATATGAATACCAGATTTCAACGAAATCGCAATACTGATAAGTTTTCGTATTTTGGGTGCGACTGTTCGTATATTAGACAGTTATCTTCTCTCTTTCTTTCTAGCCTAATAGGATTTCTAAGAAATTTAGGTTTGATTGAAGTAATGGAAATGAATCGGACAATAGACCTCTGGTTAAGGCGAATACTTTTCCCTCCCTTTCTATCTATCTATCTAACCCCTTAAGCAGGTCCCTCCGCTGCTGGCGTGCCCTTTTCTTGCCATTACATCAGGTATATAGAATTTGTTATTAATAAATATTATTTTGCAAATTTATGACAAACAATACTTTGTGTATATGTACATACGTACATATATAAATTTATAAGTAAACTGCAAGCTTTTAGCTGGTAAAAAGTATTTAACACAAAATTAACAAGGTGAGTCAACGCAACGCAATTAGTGGCCTCTGTCGCTGACGTTTATCTGTGTATCTATCGTCACCCTTGAAATTCTGTTTATTTTCTTGTGCAAATATTACATTACACACTCGACAAATTTTTGTTTACATTTCTTTCCACTACATCGCATTGGGTACAAAATAATGTAAGTGAACGTCGAAAAATAGTTTTAAAAGCTAAAGTCAGTCTTCCCTCCCTTAAATGTCAACATTTCGCAAGGGGTTTTGTAGTAAAGAGACAAAAACGTTTAGGTTATGTGAATTACTTTTTTTTTTTAGTTTTCAAATGCGTTAATGCCCGCTTTTTCATTGTGTTGCTGCTGCATTAACCAAGCCACGTGGGTACGGTACACATAACCCAACTTTTTTTATTTCTACAGTTGTCGTGCCCATAAAGTACACTTTAATATTTTATTAATTATATTCAATTTATTTATATGACGCAGATAGAGTTTAAGTAAAATAAACATGCATAGGAGAAGCTTTCATGTACAAAGAGTGCAAACGAGGCGTATGGACTTTCTTCGATATTGAGAAAGACCTCAAAAACATCTTGTCTCTGCTGTTCTTGTATTGGCTCTCCAACCCCGCTTAGGTGCAAGTGCTACTAGTCGAAGTCAACGAAATCATCTAACCGGAGGTACAGGAAACGAGCTGTTTCGACGGTTTTGAACCAGAGGGAAAGGGTGATTGGAAATGTGAGTTTTAGGGTACTTGGAAAGTGGTCGTCAGTGTCGTGCGGAGTCTCATTGCAAGCAAAGCAAGGCTGGGTGTGTGGGGATTAAGTCTGGATAGATAGGAATTAAGGCGACTACAAAATCAAAATATACACAGTATTACTCGGATTTCTCGTGATAGCTGCAGCTCTTCGTCTGCATTATGTGGTGTTTGTAATCCGAGAACATTTGAAATAGCATTTATAGCCTGCCCCAACGTGGTCCTATCCAGCGACTCTTGTCTATGGTGCTGAATGAAGTCGGTGGAGTCTAGTACTTCCTTCCTGATGTACCTAAGTGGAAGCTTAGCTGCGAGAAATACACTCGGAAGTGGCGACACAATTAGAAAATTTAACTTAACTTTTCATTTCAATTAAATTTCTATAACTTTTAAATGTTAGTCGGGCCCGGACACAAACCCTGACTTCGCTTTCGCTGCTGCCGGAGTAACAATATCCGTATTTAAAAAAGTCAGACCCGGACAAAAACCCTGACTCAGCTTTCGCTGCTGCCAGAGTATCAATATCCGTATTTAATAAAAAAATAAAAGTTAATTTTTGCATCCGCGGCTGGGTCTCGGCATGGAAGGGCAACACCTCCGCTAATATGTATTTCTGACATGAAATAAAAATCCGTCAGATGTTCGGAGGTGACATAGAATAAACTATACGTCAGCGTTCCTATGTAGACAACCGACAGTCGCTTCAACTATTGGATTTTATTCGTTTCTTACGACAGCCATTCCGCGGGTAAATTCTTAGACCCCTAACCCGCGGATGGTACAACATAACCTAAACTAATACGCCTAGAGTTTATTTTTTCCAATTGGAACCTAAAATGAACTTCTTGAATCCCTTCTTCATTTTCAGAATCTTCAAAAAACCAAAGTCTCCATTGCCGAAATGCTCTTCGGTGTACCAATGCAAGATACCGGCTTAAAGCGTTATCCACTCCGCTCACGTTCGCGTATAATACAATATGCCATCACATTGATAATAAAACAAAATGACCAAGAGTACTTGAGCACGCTAAAAGAAAAACTCTTCCAATACTATTCACCACTACAGTTGAAAGCCAAAACCACTGAGCAGTCGTCGGACACACCATCGTCAACAACGTCCACGTCACAGGGCAATCAACGAGGTGAAAAATCCGCCATTACATACATTTTCTATCCGGACGAGTTTAAATTGTGGGAGTTCATGCCGCTTGCCATTGCATTTATTGTGCTCTTCTTTTATATGTACTTCTCGGTGCGTAAAATCGAAATTATACGCTCGCGTTTCTTACTTGCATTCTGTTCTGTTATAACAGTACTCGGCAGCCTGACCATGTCGCTGGGTGTTTGCTCATTTTTCGGTCTAACCATTAGTCTACAATCGAAGGATGTCTACCCCTATTTGGTTATCTTAGTTGGTTTGGAGAATTGTCTCGTCATAACGAAGAGCGTCGTCTATACGCAGGAAACCTTCGATGTGAAGATACGTGTGGCCAAAGCGCTCAGTAAAGAGGGTTGGCATATTACCAAAACCCTGCTGACAGAGATTACCATACTCACCATTGGTTGCATCACAATGGTGCCGGTCATACAGGAATTCAGCATTTTCGCCATTGTCGGTTTACTTTCAGATTTCATGCTGCAAATGTTGCTCTTCTCCACCATACTCGCCATGAATGTCAAATTGCCGGAGTACACGACCGAAGCCAAGCATTTGCCGAAAATGATGTTTAGATGCACCATGACCAATAGTACAGCCACACCGCCGCCTGGTGGTTTCGGTATGCTACCGAACGGACGCAACGATTATCGTTTCTTTGACAAGAGCACACCATATGCATCGCTGGCTGGTGACGTGTCAGCGGCGGCGCCTTACTCTGCCTTAGGCAGCAGCGGTTTCGGCATGTTTCATCGTTCACAATCGCATCCCAAGCTGAGTTTTGCCGATTTAAATGCGCATCCGGCCGATTTGACCGTGAAAACCGGCATACAAGCCAATAAAGACGGACGCATACCGAAGCGTCTGCGCATCGTTAACTTCTGGGCACGCACACGTTTCTTTCAACGCGCTTTCATGATATGGATGAGTGTTTGGATTTGCACGATCGTTTACAATTCCGGCTGTTTGGAGAATCTCTTTGCCATGGACAGCAATCGCACGGCATTTGGTAATGACGAGGCGCAACGGTTTGTGAAGACCAATGAACAAAGTGCAGTCTCGAGTTTCTTCACCAACATGCAACATGCCATACACGGCACAGCAGCAGCAACTGTGCAGCAGAGTGAGGCAACAAGTGGTAATAGCGTTGGCACAAAGGGACAACGTATTGGTCGCAATGGCAAAGGTGAGAAGTCAACGCAAAGCAAACTTAAAGGCAAGAGCGGCGAGAATGATACAGACGTCGAATTGCGTCGTCTGCGCTATCCGGACTTCGAAATGAATTACTTTCTCTCCAATTTTCATTGGTCTGCCATCATGAAGCAATATAATATTTCCTTAAGTGGCCGCTACATTACACTCCTACCCACCATTAAGCTATCACATCCGATTAGCGCCGAAGCGGCGGTGCTCATACGCAATCCCAAAGAGAAGGTTATGCAAAACTTTCAATGGAAAGCGCTGGCCGCTGCACTCGATCCCATTGATTTCAATGACGATGAACGTCGCGAGTCGCCAATGGTATTCCCAGGCGGCACACCACTCTATCCCAAGAGTCCAATGGAATTTTTCTTTGTCATTTCCATGTGTTTAATCAGCATTTTCGTACTCAGCTACACTATGGTGGTCTTCTATCGGTGCATTTGTACGCGTAACTACGCCGAATGGCGTTCCAGTTGGTATGAATCCTCGGAGATACAACAAAAAACCGAGCATATACTCGAGGGTGTGCCCACAAAAATCGCTGGACACAAGCACACCATCGAATGTCTCATCTCGGACGGTTCACATATTATCAGCTGCTGCTTGCGTGGTCAGATAAAGGTGTGGGATGCGCGCAGCGGTGAGAATGTGTCCACCATTCAGCGTGAGCATATGCAAATAGCGACGAAACGTGAGGGTAGCGCAGAGGTAGTACTGGAGCGTTTGCCGCATTCGCCGATTTGGTGCATGAACGCATTCGATAATCTTGTGGCTGTTGGCTGTGCCAATGGCCGCATCGAGCTGTGGGAGACGCCTGAAGGCGCTTTGAAGGTGATTTAGCGAACAATTATCTTACGAACGCAATTTATTTTAAATATATTTTATTTCTTTACACTTAGTGCATTTCACCGGGCGAACTAAAGTCTAATCAGGGCATAACTCATATATATTTAAATGGTGATCGCGTCATTGTGGCACGTTTATGTGGTCGCTTAGAGTTCTTTCGCTTAGAAACCTACTGTAAGGGTCAGCAAATCGATTGGAATTTCACCTCAGCATATAGAAGAAGTAAGTAGGAATAGTAAGAGAAAATCACGCATTAATCTAAGAAAGGTGCAAAACTAAATTTTCCTTGCAGCTCACACACGCACCAGCTCGGCAGGTAGCATTGGCCTAATGCATCACCACGCGCAACAGCAACAGCAACGCAGCTATTTATCTGGTCAATCGCCGCCACCCTCTACTAAAGAAGAGATGAAAATTACACTGGAGGCAGTGCGTTTTGCACATCAACAGCCCATCACCTGCATGGAGGTGTCCAATGGCATGGTATTTACCGGCAGTCAGGATCACACGCTAAAAGTAATCAATTACATTAAATATTTACAAGAAAAAAATTAAAATAATTAAATAAATAAATTTTCACCCCACAAGGTGTACAGTCTGACGAATGCCAACATCGAATATGCCTTACACGGTCACTGCGGCCCGATAACATGCCTTTTTGTTGACCATTGGCAACCGGGCACCGGTGGCTCAGGCTCCCAGGATGGCATGTTGTGCGTATGGGATTTATTCACGGGCGCATGCATGTATAATATCCAAGCACACGATGGCGCTGTCACGGCGTTGGTGTGCGCACCCACATATGTTATATCTTTAGGCGTTGATGAGCGTATTTGTGTGTGGGAACGTTTTCAAGGTAACCTCCTGACTACCATCAATATATTGAACGCCTATTCGAGTTTGCTGATGTTAACACCTTCGTTGCTGGTCACTTGTAAGAGCGGTGAGTGATTTAGTCCATTTTTTTTTTTATTATTATTTTTGTGTGAATATTGAAAAGTCTACAATACTCGGTGGATGGGTATAAGATATCAATTTCATTCGCAACCGAATATTTAATGTTGTAGTGATTATAGCGGCTCACTAGCACTGCTTAGAAACTGGCGAAAATAGTCGTAAGTCATTGGGGTCACCTAAAGAGGGGTCTGTTTTGACGGACTCGAACCAGAGGGAAAGAAGGGTTAGTAGGTTTTAGGAGGCATGCAAAGATGTAGTATATGTTGTTGTTGTTGTTGTTGTTGTTGTAGCGGTTCGCTAACCACGCTTAGGCACAGGTTTGATCAGTCTAAGTCGCCGAGGTCATCTAATGGTAGGTCCAGGAAACGAGCTGTTTCGACGGGGTTAGACCAGAGGGAGAGGGGGGTTAGATGAGTTGGTTTGAGAGGGCATGTGAAGAGGTGGTTGGTGTCGTGCGGAGACTCTCCACATGCAGGATAGGTAGGAGTTTAACCTGCTACAATATCCAGACCTAAGTTGTGTCAGGGTCACGCGGGTCTCTCGAGGCAGCTCGAGCTCGTTGTCTACTATAGGTGGTCCCTGTACGCCATTCACTGGAAGGGAGTCCTTGAAGGTATTGACTGATTCCTGGTGAATGGTGGTCAGTGCTTGTCGGTACGCCGTCCTGTCCGGTTGTTGTACATGTTGCTGGATTGTGTCCTTTAAGTCTAGTAGTCCCTTTCTGATGTGCCTAGTTGGAGGTTCACCTTGCAACTCTCACGACAGCCGGTTCTACGCACCGGAGTTGACCCGGATTTTATCTGGCCAAGGGCTGTCACCCTTTCGGCGACCTAACCCCGTTTAGGTCAACAGGTAGCTTTAGGTTTAGATGTAGTATATCGGTTTCAAGTCTGTATAGTTATGAATTATGAATCGACTACAATATACAGATCTAAATCGGACCAGTGTTACTCGGTTTGGTGCTTGGTTTGCAGTCGTACGTGGAGTGAAAGAGTACAAGCTGATCAAGGTGACTCCCAGTAAGTTTTTATTGTTTGTTGTCGGAATTTTTACGCCATCAACTTTCGCATCGAGCTCGAGCTGGTACTCTTTCGACCAGCTGGGGAAAGGAGTCGCCGAGGATTTCGCAAACTGTAGTTATAGGTATCGTGTAGTTAAGTTGTGTCAAAGGGCGACAAAATAGAAGTTTACTGACGAACATAGATTATCAATATCCTGGCCAGATAACAATATCGAACCGTCATCGGCATATGAAATGAGAGAAACACCCTCTGAAAGAGGAGAGGGCTTCGAGATGAAGGAAAATAGGTAGCAGCAGAACTCTTTTGTTAAATTTTACGGAGTTTAGAAGTTTGACCTCGAAACTCTGGTCCACCTCATCCACACCGACATTAATGAGAAATCCTCTATGTCCGACAGTAGTGGACAGATCCAGTGCTACTGGGATGGTTCGCACTTAGATGCAGTTTTGATTATAGCGGTGAACTATCCCTCAATTCGCTACTGGGGAAAGGAAATAAATCAGTCCTTGCTTGCTGGTTTCACCGGTATAAGCAGCGTAGCAGAATGGTCCATTTTCCTAATATCAGATATTATTAGAGTGGTCAAATACAAATTGATAGCCTTGCTAAGGTAGTCTGGTTATATGTCTCTGAACATCTTCTCTGGAGAAATCAAGCACTGCGCTGGTGAGGTATATAAATCGCTTCCATTATATTTCTAAACTTTTTCTTTAGCAACGATTTACAACTGCAGAGCCATAATTCCAAACTCGTATTAAAATTCCATGCGGTTCCGTTTGAAACCCTTTTGATTATCTTATAAAATATCTAATTAAATAAATTATTAGCTTGTTTGGCTTGTTTTGAAGTAAATAGTAATGAGCCCAATTTAAAAATCTATGAGTGGCCATGCATTCTCCTTCAAAGGGAAGAAAATATCTGACGGTCTTCGCTCATTAAACTACAGCTTATTGCACTTTCAACTTCTTTTCGCAGTTTCTTTATACGTAGAGTGGGCAGCTGAGTAAATCAATTATACTGCAATTATCTAAAATAAGTTACGCATGCGCACTATTTTCAAATGCAAATGAGTTACGTATACGCCATGTGCCTTTGCTCAACATGACATATTGTAAAATACCCTTGATTTCAGGCAGTCAAGGTGATCTTCTTAATTTTTTTGTTAATTTTTATTTTATTTTATTTACCCCCAACTTATCTTTATAGGTTCCCTGATCGTTTGGGATGTACGCACCGGTGAACCGGCACGTGAAGTTAAACTCGATCGTGCGAATTCGTTATTGTCTCCCAAAACTTTAATGCTTGCCGGCGATGCTGTGGTATGTGATTATGGCAATGAGTTGCGTGTGGTACGTTTTCCTATTGTCTCGGATAAATATAGTTGAACTAAATGGAAGAGACTGGCTGATGAATCAAAAAATAATTAATAATACATTAATACATGCATATGTAATAATTAATAGTGCGTCCACACATAACTTTGATGGCAGGTAAAATAGTTATTTAATATGCTATACACATACGTCCATGACACACATACACACACACACATATATATATATATATATATATATATATATATATATATATATATATATATACACACACAGAGAGACAAGAAATCACTGGAAGCCCGACGTCTTATAGGCTGTGGGCAACGCCTTGTAACGCTCATCTAAGATGACAAAGGAAATTAATTATATACATACATATATACTGCGTAGTTATGCATTCAAAAGTAACAAAAAAAAAACATTTTTAATGAATTTAAACGCTTCTCACTTATTTTAATTTCGTATACGTAGTTATGTAAAGTTAAGAGCGCATATTGTCCTATACAAGTTAAATACACTCACATCGACATAAGTTTTTTTTTTTTTAGTTTTTAAGCACGTCATTGCTTTAAAATATTTTTTTATAAATCCATTAATGGTGATACTCTATACCTTTTTTTATAATTAATTTATCTATGTGTAAGTTTTCAACTCCCATTCTTTAGTCGCCTAATCGAACTAAAGAGTTAATTTCATTTAAGTTTTGCTCCAAACTCTAAACTTTTAAGGTTTTCTAAATATTTTATTCGCGCAGTAGTTTCAAGAGTATCTTTGTCTTAGCATTTTATGATTTGGAATTCGTCTTTGTGCCTTTTGTTAACTGAACTGACTTTCACGCTTAATTGTAAGTTTCATTGAATTAAAAAAAAAAAATTATTTAAAATTGTTTTTAAAACTTCGATTTATTATGATATACACATACCATATTAGTTTTTGCCCACTGACCGGCGTTTTAGCTGTTTATTTAACTTTTAACGATAGGCTAAGTAATGGAAATTGTAATAAGAAACAATAATAAATACGTATGTAAGATATATTATATGTATACATACATATGAATGTATTTTTGCTAATGGTTCTAGTTCTCTTTTAATTTTAAACAAATCTGTTGAACCTTCAATAAAATCTTATATTTATAAATATTTTTCTTAATCTTATTATTCAATTCAGTATTAAAAGGGATTATATTGCCATAAATCAATCCCTCAAGGAAGTGAAGAAATCTGAAGGCACAATAGACCACTGGTCGCGGTGCATATCCTCTTTACTAATCTTTCTATGTAACCTCCTTACTAATCTTTCTATCTATCTATCCCTCAAAACTTAAATTTTTGTCAGCGTCAGCGCCTACATGGAAATATTTTAGTTCAAAAAAAAAAACATAAATTCAAAAAGTTCTTTAACTGATTTATTTAAAAAAAAAAGAAAAGAAAACAAATGCATACAAACTAAATTTTTAAACTTTTTAAAAATAACTTAAATAAATACAATATCAAATGTATTTTATTAGAATATATTTGAAAGTGTGTTTCAAACTGCTTTTGTCTGTATAATTACCGACGGAAAATTATTTCTTCAATTTTACAAATTGCGAAGCGAATTCATATACTCCAACAGATTCTTTATTCTTCTGATCATATTCAACCCAATCATCTTCGGACAAATCAACATCTTCAAATGTTTGTCCATTCTCAGCCGAACGTACTATCCAGCCGCTGCGTGGTGAGAATTCAACCGGTTCAACTCCACGGCAATCGAAGACAACAATGGTTTTAAATTTGCCTGCATCTTCTTGTGTGTAGGAAGCTGAGAAGAGAAAAGAAAAGCTGAAATTTTGCTGCATAATAGATAATTGTCTTTCTCACCGTTCGTTTTCTCCACCACATCAATACTATTCTCTCGCCCACACATTTTGCATTTCATATAAAAATTAACTCCCTCTGGATTACGTGTGTCAGCGCCACCTTGCAAACGCTCCGACTCTGTTATATCGTGCCATTTGTCAGACGTTTCACCACAATTGGTGCATTTGATTTTCACAAAGAATGCGTAATCTGGATGATTGGTTTCCAAGCTATCGATATTCTCCAAAGTTGCTGAGATTTGTAAACCAACACGCACCATTATTCTTTGTAATCTATAAATTGAAAAAAATTTTGCTTATTCGTCAACAAAATAATCTGATATTTTGGAAAAGTTTCTAGAATTTGACACGCAAACAGCTGTTTCCGAAATGTCAATTTGCCGGTTCCTGTGTAGTGTTGCCTAATCACTATTTCCATATAAGCCCTCTTTTGCAAAAAACAGCAACGACTAGTTGAATATCAATGATCAATTCTGTTTTTTTTTTTCGGATAATTTTAACAGGTTTTGGCTTCGTGTCACACAAGGAATGGAACCATCGATCTTTTAAGGGAAGGTTTTCTTTGAGTATCAAGATAACACCACTTATCGGATAATCGTTTAGTAGAAAACGAAAATAAGTGTAAAACAAAACCACGTTCCATAGGAAAAGGGGAGGATGTGTTCACGGGAAAGGCTACATTAGATTACTCAAAGAGAGAGAGAATCCCGAAAAACTTAAAATGTGACCAAGTGGACTTTTCGCTATTTAACTTTGACTTAATTCCTTCGTCCTTACCTACCCGTGAAAAAAACGCTGTAAATATTGCTGAAAATATCAATTTAAATAATTTGTAAGAAAGAATTAATCTGTTGTTCGAATTCGGTACAAAATTAAATGTTCTACCAAACTTTACCATTTACCCCCGCTTTATTCTAATATGTCTGGTAACACTGAAATAAAAAAACGGCTACAAATGTTATTTGACATTCCCTTTTACACAGAAATAATTTTTGTTTTGTCTGAAGTCGCATTTTCTTGGTAAAACGAAAAGTTTTACAGAAATATTTTAAAAAATCTAGAGTTGTTTTGTTTACTTTACTACAACGGATCCCGTATTACGTGAGATGAAGCCAACACCGGCTGCCGATGAAATGTTTAGCACGGACATGGAAGAGGTAAGTATGTTGGTCGCCCTGGAAGAGCGACTTAATGAGTACAAACATTCTTTTAAAATCTCTCGAAGCTGTTGCATTTCTTTTTTTTTAATACAACTTCTTTAAATTGTGAAAAAGATTTTACGCAGAGAATTTCTTAACTTTCAGTCCGGTAGCTCTTCTGGTCTGCTAATCGACTTACCAACCAATGAGAAGCAGGTGCATGCTGACTTCTACAACGATTTTGGTGATTTATTTGATGATGATGACGATATGTCAGAAAATAATAGCGGTTAATGTAATCAGAGTAAACGTATTCGAAGTTATGTTAAATTTAGGTGCATTTTTTTAATAAAAATCATTAATTATTTGACTTTCAAATACTTTTTTTTATTTCTCTTCTTATATTTACATGTACAATATTTGTTTAATTTAGTACGTTTACGTTTAGTACAATTACGTTTTTAAGAAAAATGGTTGAAATCAATAATTTGGAAAGTTACACGATAAAGCTTAAAGTTAACTTAAAAGAAATAAAACTAAAGTTATATATTTACACTTGATTGTATGGACTAGCAATGAGTATTATCAATTTAACTAATATTTTTTTTTATAACAAAAAAAGTACATATGATAACACTGAGTAAAAAGAATGATAACAAGAATGTCTAGGTAAAGAATTGTAGAAAATTTGTTTTTAAGAAGTGTGAATGGTATAAAGATAGCAAAGAGTGTGTAATGGTGTTCTCCAGTGTCATTGTTTAAAGATTTGAGAATTAAGCTGTGAAACAATTGTCAAAAATGAATTTAAAAATACTCTTCGAAATACAGTTATCTCTTACTTTGAACCTACCGCTAATCACACATAAGCCTTATGTGCTAAAACAAAAAAGTATAATGTGTAAAAACTAAGATTTACTGCGGTACAGATATTGCATATGAGTTGCCGTTATTTGATTTTTAAATCTTACAAACACTTGATTATTATGTGTGTATACATATCTTTGTCTGCATATCCTAAAAGTTAACTACGTATTATTGTAAAGTGCTATATAAATTCTAGTGTTATTCCAAATATAATTACAATTACATTTTTTTGTTAGGGATGTAAGCTGTTTTATGTATGCATGTTTCTGCTTTGTGTAAACTTTTTAGTATTTTTCTTAAAAAAATAAATAAGGTAATCAGAAAATACTGATATTCGTTTATCAGTTTTAACTAAATCAAAATGGCTTGGTTTGTGTGCATAGAAAAATTGTCTCCCAAACGTTTAAATCGTTTCTTAATATTGGAACAAATATCAAAATTTTGCTTAAAATCATTGCCTTCGTTTTAGTGCATAAAATCTACACAAGTATACATCCCTATTTGTAAAAAAAAACACACACACATGTATGCCTATTTAACCATCTAGTGGCGGTCCTAAATACACCATCGAGACCTCCGTGTTGCCATATACGGCAGACACTGTTGGATAAAGCTTCTTATCAGGCAGACCTGTATACAATGAGAAAAGAAATTTTATTTTTGATAAATTTAATTAAAACTCTATGATATTATCTTACCCTTGAACGCTACACCTAAAAATTCACTATTTTTTTCGAATGATAATGTATTATCATCACAATCAAGTATGACACGTATCCGTTCGCCCACCTAAGTAAAATAATAAAAACAAAAAAAAAAATACAAAGAGCGCTTAATATAGCAGATAACGTTTTTTTTTCTTTTGGCATATATATTATAGTACCTGATATTTGGGTGGATTATTTAACAGCGGATAACTGCCCTGCGCATCGCCATTGTGCAGCAACATATTTTCTACTAAATTCCAACCCCAACTCTGATCGTCTGAGCCTAATAATGCCACATAGCCATGACACTGTAGTGCTGCCTCTTTTGTAGATATACCTATAACCGCCACCGTACCAAGCGGTCCTTCCCATATCACCTCCCATGAATGTCGCCCCTGTCGAAAACCGATTTTTCCACGTGCAGCATCTGTGCTTTGAGCGACGGGATTGCTACAAACAAAGCAACAAATAAAATAAATTAACTTTTCAATATGCAACATTTGTTATCAATCCATACCGATGCAAAGTGAAGCCATTTGGTTTAATATAAACATTACGCGAACAGTCATTAGGATTCCACGCGTGATAGTACGCACGTAATCTCTTTTTATAGGTTGTTACTGAAGCCAGCAAATCAGATTTTAGTGCTTCTTGTGGTAATTTGCGCAAACAATGCATTCGCCACACCTCTGAACTTTCATCGTTTAAAAAATGATACCAATTCCAGCAGACCAAAGCGCAATTTTTCAAATCACGTAAATCCAAATAGGAGAATATAACTTCCAGAACATTATAGTTCATGGCCAGAAATGGATCAACCATTTTGATTTTCGCTCTTAATTTATAAACTGAATATAACGAAGTTTTAATAGCTGATTTCCCTTGAGTCGTCCAGCAATATACAGCGAACGCCGTTTAAGTTAAAAAATAAATATTTTACACTTTAATGGTTACTATTGTTCTTCGACGGCAACACAAAGCACTGTGGTAGGTAAGATAGTAGTAATAAGTAGATTTGCTTCGATTCCTGGCAACTTTTGAATGCGCTTATCTTCTTTTATTTGTTAAATGTAGTTTATACATTTTCGCTATTCTCTTCACTATGAATACTTTCATAAACAAATTATCTGAATAATTTATAGCTGCCTTCATTTATTTGCCTATCAATTAATTTTACAAAACCGAAATTGCCAAAATATTGTCTTTGACATTTCTCTTTGCTATTTCTCAAAGAAATGACGGCAATGTAGTAAGGCGAACCTGAATATCTGAATTTGCCTTAATTGTTCGGTCCCGACTAATAGTAGATACACACATAAACGTGTCTGTGACCGGTAGTTGAATACCGTATGAAGCACTGAATTGAGCAAAACTTACTGTCCGCAGAGCTAACGCAGAAACGAATGACGTTTAGTGCCTGACTGTATGTTTTTCTGTCAAGTGGTTGATGTACATTTCCTGGATTGTGTCCATTAACTCTAGTAGTACCTTTCCGATGTGCCTGGGCGGAGGTTCACGGTAATGAATTTTGTTTTTGCAAGATGCTTCCATGAGTTTAGTTCTGAAAGTTGGCACGAAATGCCCGCTTACGTGTGTGAGTGTTTATGCTATAAAAGGTTTTCCACTCCTACAGGTAACAAATAAATAGCAAGTACATAGCAGGTATGTAAAAATATATAACTTCCGAAGAAATGTGCAAGAAGCACATGGTTTTCAATGCCAAAGATTCCCTTATATGCGATAACAAAAGGCGACTAAGAAAAGAATTAGCCGCAATACTGAAATTAGCATACCGCACATTTTTAATGATACCCTCTGTGAATATGCCTGGCCGTCGTACACCGATCAGCTGATTAGTTCGCCTCGCTTGAAGCTGTCAAAGCAAATTATCAATCGATTTGAGTTGCAGTTGATTGTGTATATTTTTGTTGGATATTTGTGTTTGGAGAATAAAGTCTGAGAAAAGTTCGATAACTACTGAAACGGATTATAAAGTTTGTGAAAAATATATATACATTTAAATAAAGATAAAATTATCAGCAAATGACAGATAATTGAGCCAAGTTTAAAGTCTATCTCTAAGTGAACATTTTCTATTCTACAAAAAAGTACTGGAGCAAAGTTCAAGTTTTTGCCTGTGAAGAGAAAATACCAAATGATGGATAACAATGACACCTCAAACAATTTTCGTAGTCCAGTTTTGGTTGAATCAAATCTAATACCTCAAACCGGTGGTATGGGCACAATTGGTAACAGTGACGCACAATTACGCACACCACATGCGGGTAATGTGCGTGCATTACCACCACCTCTACCCCAGTTGCCTTACGGAACTACAAATACTGTCGGCTACAATGCCAACAACGCTTTGGGCGCATACGGTAGCGGTTACACAGGCTACAGTAACTTTGGCAGCGGTTTCGGTTCATATGGCGGTTATGGCAGCGGCTACGGTGGTTATAGCAGCGGCTATAGCGGTTTCGGTGCATATGGTGGTTATGGTGGTAGCTTCGGTGGCGGTGCATATAATCGTTTCGGCATGGGTGGCGGCATGAATCCTATGGATCCGGAAACACGCTTCATACAAATGGCAGAGGCCAGTTCACGTCCGGCATTTCAAAGCATAGAATCACTTGTATCAGCAATTGGGAATATAGCGGCAATGTTGGATTCCACATTTTTCGCCCTGACTAGTTCATTTCGTGCAATATTGGGCGTTGCAGCGAATTTCGGTCGTCTGCGTGGGGTATTTGCACAATTTTGGCAGACATTCGCGATAATTCGTGGTTTAACTTGGATATACAAGAAGTGAGTAAGCAAATTTATATTATACTAATGTGTGTGTGTATATGTAATTTTTTTTTAGAATGCTTTACTGGCTACGCTTATCAAATATGGATCCATCAAATGAAAAATTTAAAGAAGCCTTCGCTGAGGCACTCAATGACTCATCACAACAATCGGGTGCACCAAAACTGCCGCGAAAAGGTCAATCGCCATGGCCTGTGCTAGCTTTTATAAGTTTCATTTTCACTGCACCATATCTTATAATGAAACTCTTGGGTACTGTAACCAATACTGCACAGGAAGAAGGTATGTGCATATAATACATGCGTTTGTGTTAAATCTTGTATTTGACTCTTATAAAACTCATGTATGTTTGTATGTGGGTATTATTCATAGGCGTGTTTTGTTTTATATTATGTTACCCCCTAGCAGATATCTTATCGCTAACTGTAGCTTTATGTTTACAAATCAGTTAGTGAATTACTTTAACAACACATATTAAGATTAGATAAATTAAAGGGGAAAAAAACAATAATTGGAAGTACATATGTTCATCACATTCATTCTTTTACTACACATTGCAGCACGTAATCCAAATAAATGGCTGAATCCAATCGAAACAATCGCTATGCATGATTTCCAAGGACGAAACTCTACAGAGTTAAGTATGCAATGTAATCAACCCTTGCTCATTGCACCGAAGGAAATACAAAATACACTTGGTATGCTGAATACCGGCTGGGCAATGGCCAGTACAGTAGATCGTCAAAATATCGGTATTATACCGATAAATTATGTCAAGAGCCCACAACAGTTGCGCGAAGAACAACAGCATATGTATCAACCGCAGCTCCAGCAGAAAGTAAACAACGAGCCACAACCTGCTTTAATGGATTTATCAACTTCATCGTTTCCTGCACCCCCAAAAACATCCACTGTCGATGTTGATATAGCCAATTTTGATATAGCACCACAGCCAGTTGGCGTACCAAACACAATGGGAATATCAACTCCGTTCGGTAGCAGTGAAGTGTAATTGCACTTTAATCATTTATAAATATTTATACAAGTTTATATATATAATATTACTGTCGAAAATTCCAGCCTGGTTAGCTAAGGTCTTTAATTTAAAATTTACGAATTTGTCTTAATTTTTAAGCATTTTATATAATTTTAAGTAGGTATTGAAGTATGAGGAACAAAATTGCGTGTACATGCCACTAAGGAGTTTCTGCTTTGTACGTACATAAATATATTTAGCGTTGCGCATAAATTCATTTAGCTATTTTAAGTATCAGTTGAAAACTGCTGTTGTAGAATTAAGCTAAAAATAAATATATTGAAGGCGAATTGTGCACAAGGTTTTTTATTTGATACCAAAAGGAAAGTAAATTTTGTGGGAATCATATTTAATCATTTTAGAAATTAGATATATAATCATGTGTGACGCCTTGAAATATAGACGAAGTACCATACAGAAAGAAACAATGATACGAGATACAAAAATTCATCAAACTTTGCAAAGGAAGACACTCTGAAGTGTGTTTTCCTTTCGCGGTATTGAAATAAGCATTGCCTGTTTGATAATTCAAGTGTTATCACGTTCTTTCCTTCTGCATGCATTTTGATTATTTCATATTCCACTGCTAAATTATGCGAAAAAAATGCATTTCTTAAAAAACCAAACAACGCCACTTACCTTACATAAATGAATGAAACGAAGATTTAATATAATTTTTATAAATTCAAGTGATATAATTAGTAGATTTTATTTTTACCATCTCATTTTATTACTCGTCAGTTCAGTGTCTTTGTTGGGTACAAAGTCGTTAATTGGTTTTATTACCCCATTTTACATCGCTGTTAATTTAAACATTTATATTTAGTTTTCAATAATAAATATTGAATTATATCTACTTATTTGCTTTTTTATGCAATACACAACTACTATATTTCACCAATTTACGCATTAAGTGTAAATTTTATTTTAAAAATGTATTTAAAGATATTTGCACGCAAATTCTGGCAATATGTATTCCTCGTATAATCAATTGATCATCTTATAAATACTTGTATTTATGCTTCTTCTATTTTACTTGTTATGACAAATAGAAATTCATATATGCATGTATGTATGTGATTGGAAAATTAGTTTTACTCATTGGCGCTTATATAAATCGTGATTTACATAAGAAAGAACGTATTCCATGAAAGTGAGAAGTAAGTAAAACAAAAAAAAATGTTTTTTTTTTCTTTTCTTTTATAGCGTATATGAATTATATATGTATGTATACGCTTTAGTTGTTAGTGGCCTTTTTTATTTATTTTTTTTGGACTAGCCGCCTATGACATTTTTCGGAAGGATTAAACAGTTTAATTAATCAACAATTTTAAGACTTGTCTTGACACAATATACAAATTGATATTTTACATATGAAAGTGCAAGTATTTTTCTAAATTAAAAAAAAATTTTATTCCTATGTTCGAATTTTAAAATATTTTTCATTTGTTTTGCGGCTGCCTTCTGTGCTCCTACGCAAACCAAGCCCTTTTTGTTATAAAATATGTATTTTTTTTAATCTTACTTTCATAATATTTTATATTTAATTGAAAATTATAAAAAAAATACAAGTTTATGTAAACAATAGCGCGCCTTTTCACCGTTGAACTATTTACTGTTTTCTTTTACAGTGTTGTTGGTAAGTATGTAGTTATAAATTTAGTTTTTATTTGTATTTTGTTTTTGATTGATTAGTGATTTACAATTATGTTTTTTTTTTCTTTTTCTTTTAATAAAACTAGTGCAGACTTTTTATGCTAGCATACTTTTTATATGAATATGTTAAAAAAAAAGCATACAATAAATTTAGGAAAAACCTATACAAAATATATTGCCTTTGAGATGTGATTGAATGGCGAAAAAAAGTAGTTTACGAATTGCAGTCTGATTGAAGATTTTTCTACTTTTGCGCATTTTTAACACCGGTCAATAATGAAAATGTTGCCAATTAATTGTACTTAAATATTTTTTACTTTTATTTCTTATTTCTCTTGCTTAGTTGCTTATTCGTAAGAACGAAAATCAAATCTACACAGTGAATAATCACACAAAGCATTTATTTCAATTGCATACATATATATTTATGTATTTTATATTTAGCTTATATACTGAAACTGAGAAATATTTTTTTGTGAGAAATGTTTAATGGTTTTAAAGCATTACATTTTCAATTTGACCAGCGCCAATGAGCATAATTTGCTATTATACTAAAAATTTTGAATAATTTTTTTTTTCTTTTAACATAAATATGCCTTTTTTACAATCGAATTCATGCATCACATTTAAATTAAACTCCTCTGTTAAATAAATCAAAACTAATGTTCAACAAAAGTTTTTAAAATTTAAAAATAATTAAGTGTAAAATAGAAGCGAAAGGCAAATGATTGTTAAAGATCTTGCAGAAAATAAAATAAAAAATAACAAGCATCCCTCTGCAGAAAGGGTTGACGACAACATATAAAATACAGTCAAGCTGCGTTTGCGCATTAATGCAGACGTTCCAATTATTCAACACACACACACACATACACTCTTATAGGCTAAACAACATGCAGCTGCGTGTGTGTGTGTTACGCTATAAACAAATTGACAGCGAATGAAATTATTTAAGCAACAATTTGGTATAACATCTGATCATTTCGCTCTAATGTAAACCCAACAAGGCCGAAATGAATGAAAAACTGAAAGAATCATCTGTTAAATTGCTACCAACGTCGGTGTTAATTGTGACTGCACCGCTGGCTGTAGTGTTACTAGTAGTTAAACGACATTGTTGTTGTTGTTGCAATATCTGCTGCTGCTGCTGGTGATTTATTTCGTTGATTGTACCACTACCAGTGCCACCGGCTAATCCTTCGTTTGATGCATTTGTTGTTTTGTTGTTGTTTAAATATAGATGATTATTGTTTTTGTTGTTGCTACTACAGCTGTTTAATTTGTAATTATATATATTGTTGCTGTTATTATACGCAACCATGAATTCGCCTCAATCAATATCGCTATTTTCCAGAAATTCTTCATCATCATCATCATCATCATCGCGTAGACCACCACTAGTTTTGGCACTGCCACCACCGCCACCACCACGTCCATTGCCACGTGTATAGCCATGTGATGAGGAATCATTGGTTAGTTCGGCAAAGCCGGTCATGGTGTCGTCATCCGAGTCGCACGTCAATCCCTTGCCATTGCCGTACGCTGCAAAAAAAAAAAAAAAAAACGATATATCAGTTTATCAGAATTTTTTACCGAAACAAAAAAAACTAAAATAGTTTCTTCTCTATATTATAATACCTTCTATATATTTTTCGAAATTCGGTGGCACCAATGATTTTGCGCGTTCGATGTCCTCATGAGAGCATTCACCTTTATCTAAACCTATAAAAGCAAAATTTAATAAATAGTAATATTCAATTTTGAATGAATTTATATATATGTATATATACTATACATACATGTGTCACATACATAAAATAAAATTTAAAAAATTACTGTAACTTTTCTTTTTCCAAATTTTTTTTTTTTTTTTTTTTTTTTTTTTACNCTTTTCTTTTTCCAAATTTTTTTTTTTTTTTTTTTTTTTTTCTACTTCCAACTTACCACCGAGTAAACCCATACGTTTCAGTACTTGAGCATCATCGTGCATTTCGAATTGATCATCAAATTTGAAAATATATTCGGATCTGTTGAAAAATTGCATTTTCGAAATAATTACGTTCGAAATGAATTTTTCAATTTTCAATAAAAACTCACTTGTCATTCGTAACACTGCAGTTGATTTTTGTCGATTTGTGCGTATTAACTATGATAAAGGGTAGTTGTATCGATGAATTGGTTGTTGGCACATTGCCTTGTTGTTCCGCTTCACGATTGCGTTCGATTAGACTTTTGAAAGCAACTTGATGTAGCAACAACTCATTCAATTGTTGATATTTCTGTTGTATACGTTGACGACGTGCCTCATTTTGTCTTTCCAACTCAGTGCATTGCTGGTATAATATTGAATTTTCAAAATATTATTCAAATTATTTAACTAGATTTCTACTACAAGTAATACCTCAGCCGAATTCGATGGCAAGTCAATCCAACGTATCTCCTTTTTGTCTTTTGATATAATATCCATGGCCATAAGTACGTTGAGCGCATCGTAAACACGTCGACGTATATTTTTTTGATCACAGTTTGCTGAATCTATGGAATTCATATTTAATTCCTCTGCGACCAATTCATCGGCCACTTCATTGTAGGTGGTAACGCCCTTCTCTTTAACCTTTTCACAAACCTTTAGGGCAAAGTGACGCAAACCTTTACCCGCCTTCTCAGGTTTACGCTGCCTTCGTGCTGAATTCGAATGTGGGCTGCTGTGTGTAGTGTGGCTAATAAAAAAAAAAAAGAGCAGAAAATATCTTGAGTCGATGTTCAATTGCATTGAATACGAAACAGCTTACAGTTTTGACTTCATTTTTGTATTAGTATGTGGCGTGTACTTGGTATAACGCTCTTCCGTTTTTATGGTAACCTGCAATTTTATTTTTTAGTTAATAATTTATATTATTTTACTTAGATATTGAAATTTTTGCGCTTACCGTATCTGGTGTTTCGTATTTGATCGCTGTAAATGACGGTTGATGGTTACCACCAACACTATTTTGTGTTGATATAACGGTGTATGTGTTGTTGCCTAATAAAAAAAAAAATAATAATTTAAATTAAGAAAGTTATACAATAAATGAGGATTTATGTAATATTTCAACTTACTATCGCCACTTTGTAAATTATAACGGCTCAAATACTGCGGTTGGCTGGAGGTGGCCTGCAATGTAGACAGAAAAAATGTCAGTCCAAAAAGAAAAATCCAATATAGTTATTTAAAAGCCTCTTTAAATCGCATCAAGTGTTGATTTTCGATGAATATGAGGAAGTGGCAAACCTTGGCCGAATGAAAATCCGAGTCGTTCCGGTATAAAGACCCGACTGTCGCGGCAACTATTGAATTTTAGACGCTCTTTAGGACAGGTATGCCTTACCGCGGGTAAATTCTTGAACAAACAACTTTCGATACGAGTTCATAATTTTTGACTGTCTTTCGATTTGCCAAACAATTTGAATTTATTTATGCAAAAAAATTTGACTGACCATTTTTCCATATAAACTTTGAATAGGCAGTTGGGTATTTATACCAAAACGTCTCGGATTATTACTCGACCAAGGACTATAACTTTCGTGTTGCGGAAATAATTGCTCATTTGTTATTTTAGAGACTATAACAAAAACAAAAACTTTCTGTAGGTGGGTGGGCGAGAATGTTGAATGTATTCAAATTGAGCTTGAGTTGCAAAAAAAACATTTACCGGATGCCATAAGGAGCTTCTGCCGCTACGTAGTCGCCAATCGCTTAGCGCTCAAGAGAGCAGGGATGGAGAGACATAAACAGATCAGTTAATCAAATGTCTGATCTGGACCATAAATCGTAAATTCCAATGCAAAAAATAAACACTTTAACAGTATTACTTCGAGAATTGCATTCAATTGCATACATGTCTACATGAATATATATATAAAAAAAAAAAACATTTATACAAATATATACATAAGCGAGAAAGCAAACACTCACATAGCACGAAGCAATTAACCAACGCCTAAGATTATGCAAAGATTCACGCTCATCGCGTAAATACACTCAACAATTATCAACGCCACATTTCAAATCCAAATTTTTTAGAAAGCCAGCTATATTTACAAATCATTAAGACTAAATTTGTATGCAACGATAAAAATACTGCAAATATTTTTGTGACAGCAAACTTTTGTGGCGCAGTGTAGTGCCAAAATACCACTATAATGTGGAATAAGACACATAAATGCGGATACTCATATCTACACACACACGTATATACCTTTATTTATCAGCGACAAACAGTGGTATGGACAACCAGCTGATTACTGTCATCACTGGAATATACTTGCCGCAGTCGCATCATAACCACAATTGCGCATGTTTATATTATCAGACAACGCGGTTGGGAGGCGATAGAATATAAAGCGCCAATATAAATAACTAACAATCGCCTCGGCCACAATTACTAAGTAGTATTCATTATATCGCAAGCGTGTACGTTTCTTACAAATTTCTACATTTCTACAAACAGCACTTTTCTGTTTTTTTTTTTTTTTTGCGTTTTTCCTACACGAACTACTACTTACCAACTGTGTGTATGAGCCCGCACTGGAATTATGCGAACTGCTTGCGCCGTTCAGATGCACAGTTCGTATGGTGGTTGCGTCGCCAACACCGATTCTTTCCTGTTTTATGTCCTCTGGTCGTAGTATTTTCACGATTTTGCCTGCAACAAAAATTAGTAACATAAATCAAAAAAATTAATACACTTTTATTTATATGACTTAAGAAATGCATACACTTGTTTAAATATAAACGTTTGAATGCCCATACATACATACACGTACAATACATACATTATATGCAAAGGAAGCAGCGGTAGGCGGCAGCCAGCCAATATAAAATAGTTACTATAGAATTATAAGCATGTGTGCTGAAGAATCATCGTGGCATAAATCGACGTCACGATAACAATAACAATGTTCGAAAAGAATGAAGTGAACACAACAGGCTTTAACTATTGGTAACAAATGCGGCTTTTTCATTTAAATTATGCGTTTATTTATTTCTACTTACATATGGCACACTCTACCACTTTTTCTATTCTAAATAATAAAAAAAATAACACGCACACACACGCGTAGCACCCGTTTGCAGTCAAACGTCATTGGCGTTGTTTAATCTAGTAACTTGTGCATTGCTTTGAAGTAAGCATTCATAAAAATTATCATGAAAAATGTTTATAATTAATTATTAATTACTAACTTTTCTTATTGGCAAACAGTGTGATTCTCGTAGTCTATTCGTTTCAATCCACACAAATAGTCTACACTTGTAAAATTATAGCAACCGCTGCCGTGTATAAGCGCGCCTTCGGAGCGCAGCAGCGTCAATGGATGGAGCAATTTAGCAAGATAGAAGACAAACAAAACATACGAGTAGTAAATGTACGGCGAACTGTCGAACACAAGCTCGAATACATAGTTATAACACATTTTCGGCCAATTTAAATAGGGTGGTACTGTAGGAAATTCTTAGTAGAGAATGTGAATCTTGCATTATTTGGAAATAAATCAACTTGAACATGTCTCACAAGTAGATATAGGCCAAAAAGATCGGATCTTAATATTAGCTTGTTCTGAACCCCTTCATTATGAATTGGATAATGCTTACTGGTGATGAAAAACTATCAACTGGTCAAATCTCCGCGGAAACACTCAAATACGCTTTAAAAATCCTTATCATACGATTTTTTTACTATCTATATATCCATTAGAACATTTGGCTTCAGTCATGTATTCCAAGGCGGTATTACTATTTTTTTACTGTAGTACTACAAATCAACTTTATGTGGTCTTTTGCACCTCTCTATACATATTTCAGTCACCGATTTTGCCCCATTTCCTTTTCCGTTTTGCTTTTTCTATGCTTCTCCCTTATGCATTATTACTCATTTTTCTTTTACCTAATCCAACCAGCACATCTCTTCTGGTTTACGCGCTTCTCACCCTCTTCTTTACCGCACCCCACTTCTCATTCATATACATACCTACAAACATACATACATAGTTACACATACAAAGTACATACAAATGCATGCCGCCCAGCACGATCTACACAATAATATCAAATATGAACGGAGACATGAAAAATAACAACACCACTACGACCGCAGCTACCAACCAGCACGAGCTGCAGAGCCAAGGTAAATTATGAAATATATCTGCAAGGTAGGCAGCGGCCAGTCTACGTTGTCTCTACAAAACTCTAATTGCAATCCTTTATCTAAGGATTTGCGTTACAATGCACATTCCATTAACTCACCATTTGCATCCTGGATTATGCAGTTGATTTCACTTGTCGCCGATGAAGCAGCGGCGGACGTTGTTGCTGTGACTATAGTCGCTGTTGAATGCGCCATTTTCGTTTCGCTTTTATCGTTGTCTTCCCTTCGTCTTTTACTCTTTTTTATCAGTTCAATTATTTTAACGTCAAGACACCTACGCACCGTGAAATGCCGACCAATGCTAAGTACACTCACGCCCCACTGCTGCAAGGATATTAACGCCTTTTGTGGCTTCAATAAGATCCTTTCTGTAGGCTCTTTGGTTCTTCTATATTTACGCTATCTTATCTACAAATTCCCGCCTTGAACTTCACCTACATTCAGCGAAAAACGGTAGTGTTTCGTTAATAGATACTTCTGCGACCTTTTGGCGCTATCCCTTTGTACGCTCTACTTAAGGGAGCTATAAAATTTTTAGGCTTTTATTTACAGAATATTCTTTTCAGGCTACAACTATGCCTTTTTGTCGTATTGGAGGCAGAAAATTTTTGTTCGACTCAAAATGGCGAGAGCAGTAGCAGCGGCTATTCGAATGCCCCACCGCAGCAGCGCGTTTTTTATACCCGCACACACCACACACACAACGAAAAATACGATTTTTTCCAGCCAATTTTCACCCACTTACCCGGCCCGGATTTTTATCAACTTACTTGCAAAAAATCTACAAAAATTTAAATTTTCTGAATTCAATATTTTCCATTTAATCACCAAATGGTAAGTTTATGAAATCTTTGCACAAATTTTGCCTTAAATATTCGTGTGTGAAAAACGCGACTTGAGATACTTTCGACGTGCTGAAGAAAGAGTAGGCAAATGGGCATGATAGAGGCAGAAAGCACTCAGCTGATTATAGCGCGCCAAAGCGACCAAATCACGCATCTGACAATGTTGCTTCTTTTCAATGTCGACTTGGGGATATATTCATTGAATATGTGGCATGTATATTTCTGAGAAAATTATAAATTTTTAGATGATTTTTATTAAATATTTATAAATAAATGGAAATTATCAGAAAAATCGGATTCAACAATTTAAAATTGCACAAAAAATGTCTTCCCCATACCGAGAATTGCAAGTCATATACTAATCTGGCAAGAAGTTTCTTAAAAGCAATAGGAATCTAAATTTGATCTGGGTTTTTCTAAAATCTATGATTTTCATAATATAGGCATGGAATAAGAAGCTTAAATTTCTACTCGGATCTTAGTAATCGCTTTTATTTATAATAATTATTGGCAAAGTTCCAAAATTTATTTTCGGTGTTGCGATTTTAGAATGACTTATCGCTTACGAGTATTCCTTTATAATTCTAATTGCTATTTTGAATTTATTTTAACATTTTATAAACATAATAAAACAACATCCAATTTAGTGACTTACATATACATAATCATACATTCTTGAGATTTTGTTGTTCAACCTAACTAATTAGAAATCTGTGACATTATTTAAAAAGCGCTCTTTAAAAAATCGGCAAGGTTTGCGCTGCACTGCGCCAGTTTTTGTTGCTCCCTTGAAAAACTGCGTCAACTTAGGACCAGCGTACTTTGGCTTCTGATCGTCCGGTTCGTCGAATTCCATTTCCATTGCTTTATCAGCAAGTGCGTTCTCCGCCGTAGCCCAGCTAAAGCGTACAAGTCGTGGGAAGCCAAAGAACATATCCACATTTTCGGTAAGAAAACGTTTAGTAACTGGATCACCTGGGTAACCACTGCCAAATTTAACAGAGTTCAACTCGTTACTTTCAGGAAATTTCCACACTTTTAAAGCCGTATCTCTCGTTACCTTTGCACAAATACTAGCGGCTGAAACAATGGGGTAAGTGGAATCTGCCTTTTTGGCAACAGTAATTTTAAATTGGGGAAATATAGCCTTTAATTTATCTTGGTACTTTTCTGGTGGTCCGACAGTATCAACATAGACTTCTGCAATGTTAACTCCCTCCTCTACAGCACGTTGTATTAACCCAATCGCTGAATTCATTGAAACTTCATTAAGTGAACATTTAGAACGCCGCAGCATGCTAGTACTAATAACATTAGGTGATATTAATTCCACCGCCCATCCTAAGCAAGCACGTGGCGTCTCAGCAATATTCATTTCGTTAAATATATTCTCACGCTTTTCTTCCGTCAGTTGTTTGGAATCTGCGCAACCTAAATCCACCAATATCTGCTCACTAGTTATTGGACAGAACGCAATGCCGTACACCATCGGGCCGAGTACCGGACCACGACCAGCTTCATCCACACCCAACATACATGGTTCACTTTTGCAAATCTCTGGTAAATCTTGGAAATACAAATTGTTTTGCGAGTTGTCCCGCGCAGCAATAAATGGACCAAGTGATTTTAGTGAGTCAATCTTATCGATAGTAGCAATACAATCTGCGCCAGCATCGTCCTCCTCATGCTTTATACTCGCTTTTGTAGATTGTACTATTTCATCTAGTTGGGTTTCCTCTTTCTTGATGTCGGATTTTATTTCATCTTCTTTAGGTTCTGTCTTTATTCTTTTATTGGGTTGTTCCTCTTGATCAGAATCCATATTTTTATTTCTCCAGTCACACTTCTTCCAATAAATTTAATTGCGGCAGACTTCAGCTTTATTGTTGTTATTTCGCGCCTTTCGATTTGTTTACGTTTACATGTTCATGGTTGCCAATATCTTAAATCGATGTAAACAACAAAGTTATTAATCCATAAAAAGGCTTTAAAAGCTTAAAATAGCCATGATTTCCACTCGATACAGTCGTAAATTATTTTTTCCGTAAATTTATTGCAAAATATCCAGAGAAACTCAAAAATAACTTTACCAAATATCAATGTTTACTTCACCTTTAGGTATGCGGCAAGAGTACGGCAGCTCTTCAAAAACAGCTGATTGGCTTATCGCTAGAAATTGCTAAGTGTGTACAATTTCATAATATTTTTCCCCCTCAGATTTCAATTAATCCCATAAAGCTTTTCCCTGCCTTGTTTATAGGTAAAATTTAAATTAATTATTTAAACAGATTCCGCTGCTTATCATTTTTGTGGTTATTGAGAAGATCCATATACAATTATTTCGGTTCGCTACCTGCAGATTTAGTATCCTTTCATCAACCTTTTCAACACCTTTTTCGATTTTAAAGGAAAAGCTCCTGATCATTTCCCTTACTGAATAGCTCACATCGTTGCTCGTGCTTATGCGTTTCAAATTTTCCCTCTTGGAATGCGTCTTGCTTCCGTTTGTAGCCCTAGTTATATTTCCTATACATCTCGCACTACAGCATGAACACCTTCCCAATTAAGGAACCAGGTATTGCAAAGTGCGTGCTCTCAAATGACGAATTTTAAAACGTTTGCAGAAGTCGTCGTCAAAAGGGAGGTCTCTCATCCGGGACTTCTGCCATTGAAGTAGACTTGGTAAATACTAAACCCTAAGGACGACCATAGGGGGTTCCCCTAACCACTTTAGTTCGCCTCCTAAACTTGGATGAAAGACAGTCCAAAGCTATTCCTGAATGTCTGAACTTCTACACATGGTATCGCTCATCGTTTCGAAAAATTCGATTTTAATCTCTAAAGTTTTGCTACGAAAACTAATTTAATTTTTTGAATACCTCATTTGTACCCTTTGTCTGCTCTTATACCTTAACAAAATCCAATAGTAAAAGATCCCTCTAAATTTTTTCTTGTAGTATGGTAGTGCAAGTACTCAGCTGATTTCTTTGCCGCTTAGTAGTTGTTTTTGTTATTATGTTGACATATCAATTACAAGGCGAAAAAGATATGAAGTAAATAAACAAATAAAAAATTACAAAAAAAAAAGATTGTTGTAAGAAAATTGTGTGGAAATAAGTACGTAATTAAACACCTTCGATGAATTCCAAGGAACTTTATTCAATACGGGAATGGGCACCTCTAACAGATATAATGGAAAAGATTCCTGGTCGTATCGCACGGGCTCTCAGCATTTTTCCATCCGATTTGAATATCACTTGTGTCGATGCAATTTCCGAATATATAGCACTAGGTAGTGATGCTGGGATCGTTTTTTGGTATGACCGGTACACCGGCGAATTACAGAAGCTGCGCACAGAGGTCAGTTGATATTTTTTATTGAAAAATATTGCACTTCTAGCGTGTTTTAAATCACCCCACCTCCAGTTGAAAATGACTCATGCTATAAAGGATACACCCAAATTATTATTCTTGTATATGCTGAAAATATTGCGTGTCTAGTGTTAATTGTCATATTTTATGCTTTTTAGTTTTCCTCACGTATCACCTGTGTTAGAATCGTCGATTCCGTGGAGTATATGGTGGCAGCAGGCAATAATAGCGGTCAAGTTAGTGTTTTTCAAATTCAAAAACAACTTCCGGCAGATCTGAATTTAATAGTGCCTAGTGCTAGAGTCAAGCCTATAGAGCGATATAATATACGTGATCTACACACCTGCGCAATTAGCTGTGTGGAATGGTCAAAAAATGGCATGAAACTTTATTCCGGCGATCGACAAGGCATAATAGTACGAACCGAATTTGATTTCAATGCTGTAAGTATGCCACTAAGGACTACTGTAACGTGGTTAACTTTTAAATTTCTTAGCACCTCAGTAAATCGACCGAAATACTTAGCGAAACATATGAAATCGTACAACTAAGCGTTTGTCAGAGCTATTTATTGGTATCGACACTTTATCGTTCGGTGGTGTGCCAGCTTAACGCTGTAACTGGGCATTGGCAAGTAACGCAAGTGGGCAAGAAAGATCGAAAAGTGCTCTCAGACTGCGGTGGTATATTCCTTAAGCAACAGACCAACCGTCCATCATTGATATGCGGGCGTCCGGGTTTGCGCTTTTGGATGGCCGATGTTGAGGGAAATGTACAAAAAACTCTACTCTTTCGTGAGGCTGTGGCACGAAGTCCTACTTGGGAAATACCCATACTAAATCCTAAATTAATAGATTGGCAAAGGCATACATCACCTAATGTAAACGATGTAGATGATGGTGAGGAAATGAATAGAAACTTTGGTGCAATACAATTGTATGCTAGCCAGGATGTGCTTATCGTTACACATGATGAGTCTACTTTGTATATATTGAATTTGGATCGTCTACGTGTTGAGGCTGTCGCCCGAGGTTTCCGTAAAATACTAGACTTTTGCGTATGCGGCAAAGAAATTTTCATTTTAGAAGGATCACGTTCACTGTTGCGACTGGCACCTATGCCGGAAAAGCCAAACAAAACTGGTACAGTTAAATCTTATATTTACATATTTGAAGGAAATTTTTAAATAATCTTCTTTTCTAGCCAAAATTATTTTTAATCCTTCAATGCCACCACCAGTACCCATGCTGGGTGCTACAATTGCTGGTGCTCTCGAATTACCTGCAGAGTCATTTGAACCGCCAGAGCAACCGTTGGGTAAGGCTGAAGAGTGTTTTGAATTGCCACCTGTTGAGGTGCTCAATTTGAATGTGCCCATTGAATTGGCTGTAGAATCACCACGTGCCGAACAAAATCGCCGTTTGGAAATATTTAATCAAATATCTGAAATGGATTTCGATCAATCTATACTATATCACAGTGGTATAACGCAAAGTGGTGGTGGTCGAAAGAAACGTTCACGCCATAGCCAAGAACGAGAGAATAATGCTAGCAGCAGTGGTAGTAGTAATCAAGCTGCAATTTCAACAAAATCTCAAGGCATTGTTGAAATTGGTCGCGTTGTAGAACCAGAAACTGAATTGGAAACTACAGCAAAAACATTAACGGCCGTCGAAGTTACAGAGTTGCCAAAAAGTGAAAAGCAAACTACCACCACTAAATCGACACTGATGAATAGCAGTTTTTGTACGCCTGCAGTGGTAAAAGGCAAGGAAAATGATGAAATTAGGTATTTTCCACATTACATCATGCTTTTAATAAAACATATTTGCATATACTATATGTAAATGTATGTGCGAAAATCGCTTTAGCGCGGTTACATAGCATTAATTATATATTATAATATAATATATGTATCTATGTATGAGAGTTGTAAAATTTATTACTTATCAAGCATTGGCCGTACATTAAGCCTTTATTGCGTCAGTAAAAATATTTATGGCTTTTTCTTATTCATTTGATTATTTTTTACTATCAAAATTTTTGAAACTACGGTTTTTATCCTCACCATGAAATATATACACAAATACGTCGCGGTTTTTTAAACGAGAATTTGAAAACTTCAATATTATCTTTTTCAGAATATGGTTTAAAAATTTTACCAAGTTTCAGTAGCTCGAAAGTAAGGCCCTAGATATTTCATTATCATTAAATATTACTACACTGCTATATGAAATATTTACATGTATACATATGTATGTATGTATGTATGTATGTACACCTGAATACATATATTCATATTTTCCAGCAAATCAATTGCAACAGTCAATCACAAATCAAAATGCGGCTCGCTCTCCACACCATTATCACCTGCCTCACCTGAATGCAGGCTCAACAAACAACAAAACCACTTAAAGCCCAAAAGTCTAGCTGATGAACTTAATTTAGCTGGTATATCATTGGGTCCAAAACAATCTAGTTTGGATTCCACATCACCATCGCCAACACATAATTTTCCCGCTGCACCAGCATCAACACCCACACCAACGCCACTCAAAGAGCTCGCACAAGCTTACCCAAAACAAACGAAAGTCGAAGATGCTGGCGTGCAAACAACACCACGTAAAAAGCTATACTATCTGGAGGACGATGATGATGATGCTGATGATGCTGACGGCGAGGGCAATATGTTTACCGATTATAGTGCTGGTCAACCAGTTGATGAACTTTATCATGCCGCTTTGCGTACTGCCACATTGGTGGAAGAGTATGAGCCGGACGGTGAACAAGCGACAGCGTCTAAACAGGGTGCAGCTGCAATGCATTTAAAATTTGTTTCCACACAACCATTGAATGAAGATATTAGTAGTTTTCTGCCAGATTTTCGACGTGCCTGCGACCCTTGTGCCACGCCGCCGATGGCACAACACAAAACTCCCCCACCTTCAGCGGATTCCAATGGTAGTTCCAGTGAATGGGAGTTTCTAGACAACTGAATAGTATTGTCAATTTAAAGAAAAATACGATCATTCCTTAAAGGATTTCGCCAACCCTATCTAATCATCAAACTAATAACACATCACATACATACATATGAAAAGTTCAAAAAACCGTTTTTGACTTCAAAATCGCCGTGGAACCTATCATACATAAATATCAATGTTGCACGTAAAGAGACATCGCATTGGCGTATTTGCAAATTTTTAAATAACCTACATATGTATTATATATTGTAAAAAATTATTTTAAAACCATTATTAGTATTTTAGTATTTTTTTTTTTCGTTGCAAAATTGTTGCTTATTATCAAAACGTTTTTGTTGGCAATTTTTAATTTTAAGCCATGCAAGTATGTATGAAATACAACTCAATTATGCATTTATTTGCTATTTGCGTATGTTTGTAAGTATGTAAAAATTCTATACCAAAAGAAATAAATGCTATATACTTTTATGCTTCAAAAAAATTTGGTCTATTACTTTATTATTGAAGGAAATTATATTTTATCACAAAAAATATATATACGTACATACATATGCACGAAGAAATGTACACACTTCGCGAGCAAATCAATGAAAACAAATAAAATTATATCCGTAATAGTGAATTACTCGGAACGCATGCTTATCCCTAACAGATTACACGACGCCATTTCGTTTCTCTTGACCTTGAACTTGGTAAAAACGGAAGTGCATTTATATAAGTTTGAATATCTGCATTTCTAAATATATATGTATGTATGTATGTATAAACTGATATAGCTCAATATCAACATTCCTAATTTAAAAACATTTTAAAGTACATACATACATATTTATACGTTGATCTTAAGGTAAATGGACACAGTTACGATTTGACAGTAAACAAATTATCAAATGATGTTTCAGATTTTCACATATCCTTTGCTTGTTTCCTGCAATTTTGGTGGAAAATTTGTTTAAATTTATTGAAAATTGAAGCAGGTCCAAGCAGAGCACAATTCGATTCTCGATGTTCGCTGGTTATCGAAAATCGAAGCCCGTATTTCTAGCAGAGAACGTATACTAAAGAGAAAGACCGGGGCGTGAAGATTGCCTATAATTCGACCTACGGGATTGCTACGAGACTATTTCACCTCTATACGATATTGGTAGGAGACTATTTCACCGCTAGTTAAAAGCGAACTACCAGAGACTGAGAAATTATTTACAGAAGAATGATATTTGGGAGTCTATCATTTTATTAATTTATTATTATCTTGCTCAGATGTGTTGGCAAACAGAGTCAATTTCTGGCGTCAGTGGTGAAATAGTCTTTTATTTCTTTCATCGATTCTGACAGCTCATATGCTGTCCGTGATAGGTCCTTCTCGTTATTTGACGTTCTCTGGTCAAGCCAATTTTTCAAAACTTTCGTCGAGTATCAATTTTTTATACGAACAAAAATTTACTTGCGTTGAAGTAGAGAATTGCGAATAAATTACTAAAATATGTATATATATGTACATAGATGAATTCCTCGGTTGCTGTTGTTGTTATAGTTGTAACAGTTCACCAGTTCACCAGTCTTGCGGGGACTAGTTTAATCAAGAATTTACCCGCGGTCGTAAAAGGCGACAGTCGGAACGACCCGGTTTTTTTCGGCCGAGGTCTGTCACTACAGCGATATTCCCCAAAAACCAATTTGGGTATATTTTTGTTACTTATTTGTTCAAACCAACAACAACAACAACAGCCAATTTGAGGAATATTTTTGTTACTTATTTGGTAACAGCCACAACAACATTAAATGAAATTCACAATAGTGTTATACGTCAACAAAAGCGTGCTTTAATATCAGATGAAATGAAACTTCGATTGGAGTATAAAAAAAAAACAAAAAAAAAAACAAACAAAAAAACAAAAAAACCAAAAAAGGCAACCAAAATAAATAAGACAAATTTTTTAAAACAATAAAAACAATAAAAAAATCAAGCCAACATCATTCAAAACGGCTTGATAATATACTGCACCTATTCCGCTGGCGCACAGTGTTAGTGATAACGGTATTTATGATAAATACCAAACACAAGTGCAACAAGTAAGCGCACGTGATCATTGAATAATCGCGTTTTAAGCTTCTAAATTAATGCTTTCACATGGCATATCCTCACACTCACTTATCACGAGCATAATAAACATAATAATAATAAGCACATACATATGTACATACATATAATTTCCTTGCATTCGCGTAACGCGTGCACAAAAATGTGAAAAACATGCAAAAAAAAAAAAATTATAATAAATTATTTAAGGAAAACTATAACGAAAGGCAACAATATCATTTATTCATTGACCCATAAATTAAGTTAATATTAATTTTATTATTATAAATAACCAGAAATGTTATTTCCTTGTTCGTCGCTTGGCCATTAAGCACCAAACAGCTGCAGAAGTTTAATGCCTCATATTTCATGCGACAAAATTACGAGCAACTCCCAATAAATAGCAAAAAATAAAGATAAATAAAAAAATATTTGAAAAACAAATGTATAAAAGGATGAAAAAAAAACCAAAAAACAAAGGAACAAAATCAATTCTGCTTAGCGGAAAATTCTCAAACAAACTGGTGTGTGCAAATTATTGCAAGTCATTGAGCTCAATTGTTTTATTATGAACTATACACACACATACATATGTATGTATACATTAATATTTTTATGTTTTTACTTTCTGTGTCAAATTCGACGCTTAGAAATACCCGACGTATAAGCAAAATAGCTCCAACACGTTTTGGAAGTCACACGGCTATGTTTAGTCATGTTTAGTCCAGGTACTCACCCCAATGCCCAATCGAGATAAATCACATTCGTACTTTTTTTTTACCAACCTTAAAGAGTTAAAAGTGCATTGAAATCAATCGCATTTGGGGACTTACAATATGCATTAATCATGAATCAATAGTGAGGTTAGGTTAGGATACCAAATGGGCTCATGGGGATAGCACTCAAGATGCCTAGATTTTCCAGGGACGCTACTCAAAGCCAATATTTGTTTGCTTAATTAAGCAATTGAGGTATCTCTACACCCACTATTTCACTCAAGTCTCTAAACATTGTGACCTATAACTTTAGAGGGAAACTTTGAAAATTAGTTCTGATACGGTCTTCAATTTTTTATCTCTACAAACGAAAAAGATTAAAGCAATATGTCAGCAAAAATCCTCTGAATATGCTCTTCCAAGGCGTCTTTCGTCTCGCAGTTATGTGCGCAGGCAAGCGACGTCATGCCATCCCATCAAAAATAGTCCAGCGCTGTTAAGTTCCACGATACAGGCACGCGACGCGCTTTAATGCGCTCACCAAATTAACGGTTTCGTTGACTGTATGGCATGTAGAGCCGTCTTGTTGGTACCAAGGCTCATACATATCATTCAATTCATCCAACTCATCAACGAAAGACCGTAATATTATGGTCGACTTCATTATTGATCAACCAAGGAAATTTTCTTGTGAAAATCAGCATCGGTAGCCATTTTTTTTAACCCATTCACCGAACTTGCAATACGTTTGATATCCGTTCGGCTTTAATGCTTGCACAAGCTGGATTTTGTAAGCACACAAATCAAATTCCTTCTGCAAAAGCTTCCACAAAGCGAATGGGCTCAGTTCCAATTATTGTGCGCTACGGCTAATGGACTAATTCGGGTCTTCTTCTATACTCTGCTCCACAGCAGTGCAATAGCACCTTCGGAGCGCACTGTACTGCGTCTCTGAGAATGCAAATTATCCCCTAGAAATCGATCCATAGTTGCTTGAATTACCGACTTTGTTGGGCGATTAAGTAGATTGAAAATTGGATTTTGGCGGCGGAATTAATTTAAATAAATAAAAAATTTAGTTAAATTTTCTAATTGCGATCGCCCCTCGGCATGGAACGTCCACACCTCCGAGTGTATTTCGGACATGAAATAAAAGGCTCCTTATAAAAAAAACATCAGCCGTTCGGAGGCGGCTTAATATAAACTGTAGGTCCCTCAATTTGTTGGAAAAATCATCAAGACGCAAAACCACAAATTGGAGGAGGAGCTCGGCCGAAAAATCGCTACAGCGGTTACAAAGCGCCGATTATACATATATGTGTGTGTGTGCATATAATAACAATTTACTTTGAATTGCGGCAATGGCCTATAAAATGATTAGCAATTCTAGGCTATTAACGAATCGCATGTGCATACTCATGCATTCATTGTTACATATTTTTATACGATTAAATTTCTTTATCGTTTTTAATTAGAAATATCCCTGAAAACCATATCTCCAGCCGAAGTGTTGCTTTGGCTTGAAGATTTCTTTGAATTTGTATTTGTTGGAAACGAGTCGTGCAGCCCCTGCATTATGTTAAAGTAAAAGGATGTTTTATATATACATATACGAGGGCATTAACAAAAGTTCGGTAAGTTGACGAATCTTAGTCATTTTTATCTTCTCGAATGGATCCACTTCGGAAAACAGTCTTCCATGTTTTTTTTTTTTGAAGCTTATCAAGTTCAGCATTAGCCGCATTAATTATCTCCTCGTTGCAATTAAAGATCTTCCCTTTTGAATTTTGTAAAATTTTTGGAAATACCCAGAAATCACAAGATGCTATATTCGGGAAATATGATGCTGAACGTATTTCTTCGATCCCAGAGATCATAATAAAATTGTCGGGTGGCGCGTTGGCATGTTGTAAAAAGTAAAACCGGAAACCCTCTTTTTCCCTGTTTTCCAACAAATTTTTGAAAACTTTTGGTAAGCACTCTTCGGTGTACCACTTTGTAGTTACCCTCTGGACCTTTTCCCAGTGGAATAGCAGCTACAATTTTAGTTCGGGTGAAGTAAACTGACATCATTACTTTTGCTGGTGATTTTTGTTGCTTAGATTGCGCGGGTTTGCTACTGTTGGGTTCCATACTATGGATTGCTGTTTGGTTTCTGGATCGTACTTATAGTACCACCAAGATATGCCACCAGTAACGACTTTAGTAAAGTTGCTAGACTGAGCATCTTCGAATTTGTTTAGGAAAAATTGAGCCTCTTTTTGGGTCTCATTTAATTCGTGGTAACCATCGTACATATTTCTTCGTGTATCCCAGATGATTTCTTAATATTCGCGAAGCAATTATTTCTTGTGTAAATTGTAAGTTTTCGGCAATTTTGGACTTCACCATAGCTACAGTGACGTCATCAGTGGAAGATTTCAGTCGACCTTTTCGGGGCTCGTTCGCTACGAAAAAATTTGTCTGTAATCTTCGGTACCACTTAGAAACAGTTGTTGTTGTTGTTGTTGTTGTAACCGAAAAACATATTCCTCGCGGGAACTATTGGATTTTAGTCGCCGCTTACGACAGGCATGCCTTACCGCAGGTAAATTCTTGTA